TTGTGACTGATGGCTAGGAGATGGTGGGATCAGGGCACACAGCCCCCAGGCATGAGGGGCAGGCAGAGAGGGCTCTGTGGCCATGTAGGGGCATTTCTGGCTGGCGGGGAGGTCTGTGGCTACCACTGGGACGAAACAGAAGCCAGCTCGGAGGTCAGCCCACTGCTGCTCATCCCTGCCCACAGGCAGAAGCTTCATGAGGCAGATCTGGAGTTGCAGAGGAAGCGGGAGTACATTGAGGAGCTGGAGCCACCCACTGACAGCAGCAGTAAGTGGGACCTGGTGACCAGGGGGTGGGGAGATCCCAGAGCCCATCATCGTGAAGCTGATGGGCCACCTCTTCCACCAGCAGCCCGACGGATCGAGGAGTTGCAGCATAACCTGCAGAAGAAGGACGCGGACTTGCGGGCCATGGAGGAGCGATACCGCCGCTACGTGGACAAGGCCCGCATGGTGAGGACACTGGGTGTTCCCACAAGTTGCCTGCCCTGGCTCCCGCCTTTTTGTGCCTCCTATTGAGCCAAACCTCCTGCTTGCACATCTGTGCCCCAGTTCACACCTGTCATACCCCACCATGTGACAGACTTCTGCAATGATTCCCCACTGCTACTGATTGTCACATTAAAGTACTGCACAGCCGGCCAGGCGCCGTGGCTCACACCTGTAATTCCAACACTTTGGGAGGCCAAGGCAGGCAGAACACAAGGTCAGGAGTTTGAAACCAGCCTGGTCAACGTGGTGAAACCCCGTCTTCACTAAAAATACAAAAATTAGCTGGGCATGGTGGTGGGCACCTGTAATCTCAGCTACTCAGGAGGCTGAGGCAGGAGAATCGTTTGAACCTGGGAGGTGGAGGTTGCAGTTAGCTAAGATTGTGCCATTGCACTCCAGCCTAGGCGACAGGGCGAGAGTCCGTCTGAAAAAAAAAAAAGTACTGCACAGCCAGGCGCAGTGGCTCACGCCTGTAATCCCAGCACTTTGGGAGGCTGAGGCAGCTGATCCCTTGAGGTCAGGAGTTCGAGACCAGCCTGGCCAACATGGCAAAACCCCATCTCTACTAAAAATAGAAAAATTAGCCGGGAGTGGTAGCACGCGCCTGTAATCCCAGCTACTTGGGAGGCTGAGGCAGGAGAATAACTTGAACCTGGGAGGTAAAGGTTGAAGTGAGCTGAGATTGTGCCACTTCACTCCATCCTGGGCAATAGAGCCAGACTCCATCACAAAAATAAAAATAAAGTACAACATGGATGGGCACAATGGCTCATGCCTATAATCTCAACACTTTGGGAGGCTAAGGCAGGAGAATTGCTTGATGCCAGGAGTTCAAGACCATCCTGGGCAACATTCTATAATGAATGAAAGGATGAATACACACACCCCAGTATGTCCCAGGGGGTTTCAAGGCCAAAGTCACCTGGCTGTGACTTCCTCAACCTGTAGGTCATGCAGACCATGGAACCCAAGCAGCGGCCGGCTGCAGGGGGACCTCCAGAACTCTGTTCCCTAAGGACACAGCTCCGAGAACGCGATGTCCGCATCCGGCACCTGGAGGTGGGTATCCTCATGCCTTTATGCGGCCTCCAGCGTATCTAGGCCCCTGACACTTGCCTTCTTGACAGATGGACTTTGAGAAAAGCCGAAGTCAGAGGGAGCAGGAAGAAAAGCTGCTCATCAGTGCCTGGTATAATATGGTAAGTGTGGGGTCTGGGCTCTAAGATCTCATGGGTAGAGTATTGGTGGAGGGGGTCCTGTGAGCTCACCTGACCCCAACCACACCTCCTTCTGAAGGGCATGGCCTTGCAGCAGCGAGCTGGGGAAGAGCGGGCGCCTGCCCATGCCCAGTCATTCCTGGCACAGCAGCGGCTGGCAACCAATGCTCGCCGTGGACCCCTGGGACGCCTGGCATCTCTGAACCTTTGCCCCACTGACAAGCACTGACTTCAGGATCCAGCCAGCCTGGGCTCCACCCACCCTGGCTTCCTCCAACTCACATGGCGCCCAGCATTGGGCTTCAGCCAGCTGCTCGAGAACTTTGAGGCCAAGATCTCTGCCCTTCCCTCTCCCAGATTGGTGGGGAGGGAGAGTGGGAGGTAGGTATAGGCCTGTTCTTTTTAGCAATGTGATTCTTATCGTTGATTCTCTCTCTGGAGTTCATGTGCTGCCTGGGGAGAGTCTGATTTTATATTTGAGAAAAATAAAGACTTTCAATCTGCCCTGGCTATGCTCTGGGCACCAAGGTGAGGGAGAGAAAATGGGCCAGAGGCTTAGCCCATTGCTTTTAAGAAAAGTTTAGCGGCCAGGTACGGTGGCTGATGCCTGTAATCCTAGCACTTTGGGAGGTTTAGATGGGTGGATCACCTGAGGTCAGGAGTTCGAGACCAGCCTGGCCAACATGGCAAAACCCCTCCTCTACTAAAAATAGAAAAATTAGCAGGGCATGGTAGTACATGCCTGTAATCCCAGCTACTCGGGAGGCTGAGGTGGGAGGATTGCTTGGATCCAGGAAACAGAGGTTGCAGTGAGCTGAGGTCCTGCCATTGCACTCCAGCCTGGGCAACAGAGCAAGACTCCATCTCAAAAAGAAAAAAAAAAAAAGAAAGAAAAGCTTGGTTTGCATTCTTACTAAGTGTGAGTGACCAATAGCACCATCCAGAGGTAGGTGAGGATCACCTTTGTGTGTCTGTGAATGTGTAGTGATTTTGTTTTTTGGTTGTTGCTTTTTTTTTTTTT